TTGCTTAATGACCCAAACGGAATTCATGAAGCAGAAGCACTCGGAGGTCTCTACGAGATATCTTCATTTCTGATTCGACATCAACGTCTACATCCATTGTTTTGTTGTTATTCGAAAGGTATTCGTACCCCCCTTTATATACCCTTAGTATAGAAACTTCTAGAACTTTCTCGACTGTTCTAGAAAATTCTTTACAAAAAAGTCTAAAATTTCTTGCTAACCTAATAAAAACCTAATATTTTGAACATGTATCTAACTGGAGTAGGGTCACTCACCAACAAAAGATGTGAGTGTTCGTGGATGTTCGGGGTGCGGGTGTGGACGGCTGTGGATGTGGGTGTTCACTAAGAGACACTAACACACACACCTACACCCACACCCCACGTCCACACTCACACCCAAACTCACGCCACACCCACACCCACACCCACTACAAGCTTTGATGATCGGCAAAAATGACCCAAAGTATTCTTTTCATATTTGTTGAATGTATTAATGTCGGGATTTTTTTCTTTTTGATAAGCGACTTTTTATGCTGGAATTTTTTGTCCAATAACTTTGTTAAATAATGGTATATATCCTTCATTTGATTATCTCTACCGTTCTCTTTCTTTCCCATATTTATATATTATTCTTGCGCTTGGATTATTTTTTTCTTTCTTTTCTTTGGACTTTGCTTTTCTATCTTTCGCATACATAGAATGTTTCTCTCTTATTATTTATCGTCTATGGGATTTTTCATTCTAAGGATTTCGACCTTTAGTTGTAACTATAAATAATTGCCATTAGATTTCCAAAAATGGCAAAAGAGCGAGAGTTAGATCTACTAAAATTCATTGCTTGTATGACGTATTTGTTGGAATGGTGAAATATTTTTTCGGGCAAAGTTTTTTCTTACGAATATATTCTTGAAGGTATCCCGAATGATGCTCTCTAGACAGGTGCTCTCGCGACACTTGCTCCCCAAGAACAGTTGCTTCCGGGACAGTTGCTCCCCGGACACTTGTTCCCCAGTGACAGTTGCTCCGCAATGACATTTGCTCTGCGAACAGTTACTTCCGGGACACTGCTCTTGTGATATTCTTGGGCTAACAGTGACGGAGGAAATTCAGATGAGGATGAGAGTGAGGGCGAAGGATGATGAGGATGATGGTGAGGATGAGGATGAGGGTGATGCTGAGGATGAAGGACGGTGATGATGCGGATGAGGAAGTCTTTATATAATTTCAGCATTTTTTTAGTTGGTTTTTGATTGCTGGTACTTTTAACCAAGGGCTGTAGGAAAGATAATATCACAAGAGCAAGTGTTTTGGGGGTAACTATTCGCAGAGCAACTGTCATTGGGAAGCAACTCTCACTGGGAAGCAAGTGTTCGGGGAGCAAGTGTCCCGGTAGCAACTGTCCTCTCGGGAACAAACGTCTGGGGAGCAAGTGTCGCGGGAGCATCTATCTGGGGAGCATCATTCGTGGATTCATTGTTGAAGTATGCCGAGGATGAGGGTGATAGATCTCTCTTCACCCTCACCCTCACCCTCAAGGATCATCCAGAGTGCATTGTGACTCACATGGATCGACAGAGGAAAAAACCAATCTCCTCGATTGGTTGCCGACTACAGCAAAAGGAAAGGAAGATAGCGATGGCTACAGTGCTTGTACGATGACTAGGCAATTGTTTTTTTTTTGCTTTGCCTAAATCACCTTGAAACTGATTGCTCTTTACTAGACTTGCAATGATAGTTTGCACACTGAATGTATGACGTTTATAAGAAAGTATTGATACTAATTTTTAATCTTCAACTTCGTTCGGCTTGTATTTATCGTTCTAGATTATCTACGATCTATTCGTCATACGGAGACAAACAAAGATGGAGAATAAATTTTTGGACGAACCTGATGCTATCCATTACGATGAAAGTTCAAGTCCTATCTATGGTTACCAAGACCAACAAATCATGACATTGGAAGAAGCTGTTCAAAGGATCACACATGTCATTCCTAATGTCATTAATTACGTCACACAAGCAAAGCTACAATGCAGGAAAACGAGTATATTAACAGAAGACGAATCTGCAGCTATCTATCTCTACACAATGGGTAGCCCATTTTTCTCGATACTAAATCATCATCTTCGAGCTATGGATAGAGAGGCACTAAGACCATGGTTCATCTACCTGAAACTCTTCATTACCGCTCTCAACAAGTTACCTTCATTCAAGGGTATTGTGTGGCGTGGTGTACCAAATAGGATGAATTTTACCCTTGCTGATTATTCTGTTCAAACTTGGTGGGCAGTAACTTCTACTTCGAAAGATCTCAAGATCATCGAGCCTTTTCTCGGTGAAACGGGGACCTTGTACGCTATTGAAACGATAAATGGCAAAGATGTTTCACAGCATGCTGCTATTCCCAACGAACAGGAAGTTATCCTTATGCCAGGTACACGAATATACCTCAAAAATGAACCACTTCAAGTCGATAACAGACCATTCGTGTTCTCTTTCAAAGAATGGTAAGTGAACTGTTTTTACCTGACGACTAATCTTTCGTATAAGTAACTTTGAGTGATATAAATCCTTCTCCCTGATATCAGGAACATCAGGTTCTGAGAAAATCATCCATCGTTGACACAGATATATTGTTGACATTTCTATCTTCTAGTACGAGCATACCCCAAGGCAAACACATCATGTTTTCCCATGATGTTAGTGATGAAACTATTATCTTACAAATACTTCAAGTTCTGCATGAGCAATCGATTCCCATTTGGTTCGATAAGAACAGAAGAAGGAGTGATAATATTTACGACAGGTATATGCGTCCAAATTATCATCATGAGACTGATTGTACTAATATCATCTGTATATCTATGTTTCAGTCTGGCAGTTGGAGTGGAAAATGCAGCATTCATTTGTTGTTTTATCAGTCCAGAGTACGAAAAATCGATCCGCTGCCAAATAGAACTACAGTATGCAAATAAGCTTCATAAGAAGATCATTCCGTGTCTGATCAGAGCTGAAGAAAACTGGGAACCAGTCAACTGGCTGAAACCTATGATACAAGGAGTCGAATATGTTGATTTTCGTCATCTCTCAAACTCAGGCATTCAGTCAAAAGCGAATTCCTTAATCTCGAAACTGCAAGATCTACAGTATGTACCGGAAGATAATTTGACACGGCCCAATATTCTATTCGAACTGATCAAATACGAGTATATACGTAATAGTAGAATAGAACGCTTTATGAATCCATCGAAATCTTTTCCGATCGAACAGAGTTACATCAATTTAGCCATAGTAGAAACAAAAGAATACCAGGAAAAAGAAAAGAGGCTTCGTGATACTCAGAACACTGATACAGTTATGGGTACATTCGAACAAATTTATGGTAGTAAGACTCCAATCGATGTCAAAGATATTTTCCAAATATGCAAAGATCACACCAGAAAGGTGCTAGTCTTTGGTCGAGCTGGTATTGGAAAATCAACATTTTGTCGATATGTTGCCTACCAATGGGCAACTGGTACAATTTGGTCAGAATATGAACTAGTTGTGCTTATTCCTTTACGATCTTTGACGGAACAAGGGTATCAAGCTGGTGCCGACTATTACCTCGTCGACATTTTGAAAAAACAATATTTTTTCAATCTGAAACTATCCAACGAAGATGAAAAGCTTTTGGAAGAACAGATTCGTAGAAGTCGCGTACTCTGGGTACTTGATGGTTACGATGAAATAGTGCAGAACGAGTCAGCTCATCTAAAACACTTAGTTAATCAATTACTGGACACTTCAGATCACATCATTACATCTCGTCCATACATGAATACTTTATCGTACGATATGAAGATGGAAATCACAGGCTTTACAGATGAAAATATCCCCAACTATGTCAAGCTATTCTTCGATCAGTTAGGGAATGACTCACAAAATTCATCAGACCAAGATGAGAAATTACTCAGTTTTCTCAAACTGAATCCTAGGATTAGGGGTATTGCACACATTCCAATCAATCTAGAACTTATTTGCAGTGTTTGGAGTAATAATGATTGGTCGGAAACAAAAACAATAACAATGACGGTGCTCTACGATAAATTGACTGAATGGATTTGTCGTCGATATTTGGAGAAGCAAAGAGAAATTCCAACCAACCTGATAAGTTTGTTGGATAGAGCAGAGGTTTATCAACACTGTCAGAATGAATTAGCATTCTTAGAAAGTCTGGCTTTTCACGCAATGGAAAGCAACGCTATTGTTTTAGGTTCAGACTTAATTAGAAAAGCTAAGAATGAGACAAAATGTTCATTCATCTATCATCCACATTTACTCAATCTTGGAATACTAAAATCATCCACTCAACATGGTACTGGGACACGAATCGAAGTGGACAAAGATCATTACTTTGTCCATCTCAGTTTCCAAGAATATTTTGCAGCTTGTTACTTAGCCAAGGCTCTGTCAGGTACCGTACGTGACAAGGCAATTGACTTCATTCAGAAACAAAAATATAATCCAAGATTTCGATTAGTTTTCATTTTTGCATCTGGCGTGTTAAATAAGAGTGATGAACAGCAAAGTACCAGCACATTCTGGAATACCCTATTGAATGAGTCTTTAGATCTTGTTGGCATACGGCACATGGATCTTGTGATATCCTGTTTTGATGAGATAGACTGCAAAGGAACGCTTATTCATAGCAATCGATTAATGGATATGATCATAAAATGGATTGAACATGCTCTTACTGTACAATCATCGTACTTACACGATTCTTTGAAACAGACTCTTCGATCATGTAGTACAATCTGCAACGAACCAGAAGTTCAAATAGCATTGATCAAATTATTAACGAATCAACAAACGACCAACCTTTATAAAGTGCTTTCATTCATATGGTTCATTCCACTCACCAACCCTATTCCTTCGTTACTAGATGCACTCATACTGAAAATCGAACATACGCAGTTCACTGTCAGAAGTAGTGCATGTTATGCTCTCGGTAAGATGGGTGAAAAAGCAGCAACGAGTGAGGTGATCAATCAACTTGTCGGTACACTTGGCGACGAGGATACCTATGTCAGAAATAGTGCATGTGATGCTCTCGGTGATATGGGTGAAAAAGCAGCAACGAGTGAGGTGATCAATCGACTTGTCAGTGCACTTGGCGACGAGAATTCCGATGTCAGAAGTGGTGCATGTTATGCTCTCGGTAAGGTGGGTGAAAAAGCAGCAACGAGTGAGGTGATCAATCGACTTGTCAGTGCACTTGACGACGAGGGCTCCAATGTCAGAAATAGTGCATGTTATGTTCTGGGTAAGATGGGTGAAAAAGCAGCAACGAATGAGGTGATCAATCGACTTGTCAGTGCACTTGGCGACGAGAATTCCGATGTCAGAAGTGGTGCATGTTATGCTCTCGGTAAGATGGGTGAAAAAGCAGCAACGAATGAGGTGATCAATCGACTTGTCAGTGCACTTGACGACGAGAATTCCTATGTCAGAAATAGTGCATGTGATGCTCTCGGTGATATGGGTGAAAAAGCAGCAATGAGTGAGGTGATCAATCGACTTGTCAGTGCACCTGACGACGAGAATTCCGATGTCAGAAGTGGTGCATGTTATGCTCTCGATAAGATGGGTGAAAAAGCAGCAACGAGTGAGGTGATCAATCGACTTGTCAGTGCACTTGACGACGAGGGCTCCGATGTCAGAATTAGTGCATGTCATGCTCTCGGTCAGATGGGTGAAAAAGCAGCAACGAGTGAGGTGATCAATCGACTTGTGAGTGCACTTGACGATCCGGATTCCGATGTCAGAAGTAGTGCATGTTACTATCTCGGTAAGATGGGTGAAAAAGCAGCAACGAGTGAGGTGATCAATCAACTTGTGAGGGCACTTGACGATGAGAATTTCAGTGTCAGAAATAGTGCATGTATGGCTCTCGATGATATAGGTAAAAAAGCAGCAACGAATGAGGTGATCAATCGACTTGTCAGTGTACTTGGTGACGAGTATTCCTATGTCAGATATAGTGCATGTCATGCTATCGGTAAGATGGGTGAAAAAGCAGCAACGAGTGAGGTGATCAATCGACTTGTGAGGGCACTTGACGACGAGAATTCCGATGTCAGAAGTAGTGCATGTTATACTCTCGGTGAGATGGGTGAAAAAGCAGCAATGAGTGAGGTGATCAATGAACTTGTGAGGGCACTTGACGACGAATATTCCGATGTCAGAAGTAGTGCATGTGATGCTATTCGTAAGATGGGTGAAAAGGCAGCAAAGAGTGAGGTAATCAATCGACTTGTGAGTGCACTTGGCGACGAGAATTCCGATGTCAGAAGTAGTGCATGTTATACTCTCGGTGAGATGGGGGAAAAAGCAGCAACGAGTGAGGTGATCAATAGACTTGCGAGTGCACTTGACGACAAGGATTTGTGGGTCCGACGTAGTGCATGTGATGCTATCAGTAAGATGGGTGAAAAAGCAGCAATGAATGAGGTGATTGATCGACTTCTCAGTGCAGTGAAACATGATTGGTTTGCCACTAAAAACTTCTACTCGAAGGATAATGTGTTAAACTATCTCTCTGTGCTTTCTGCATTAGCAGTGTTTCGTGGTGAGGAAGTCGCAGCTGCTGCTGCTGTAGTGACTTTTAGGAGATGTATTGAGACGAGATCGATCTCACCTGAACGACTTCTGAAAGTCTATATGGGTACAGCAGATCCAATATGGCTACCTGGCGTTATTTATGCCTTCGTTTTCAATGAAGCTGCAGTCACTGTCTTTGGAAATAAAATATGGGTTTATGAGAGAGAAGGAGTTACGCAGATACCCATTAGTAATCAGCAATTGCTTGTTGAACTTCAGAAAGGTTTTGCTGAGGAGATGGGCTATGTTGATCTTAAAATTAACAAAGACTAGAATTGATCGAGATAGCGGAAGTTATATGATGGTACATAACGCTTCATTGAAGATGCATAGATGGGGATTTGTGATACATCAGTTGAGAGTGCAAGTGTTAATCGTAATATCAATCATTTATTTACTAGGTGCTTTTAGATATTCGTAGAGTTAGAATCTAGAATTCAGTTATTTTTTTGCATACAACTCATATGCAAGTTAACTTATTCCTTTGGTTAGTTACTTGTTTTCTTTAATTTCTTAGTCAGACCATTGTAGTCTGTATACTTGACCATGCGATCTCGATTTTATCGTCATTCAGAATCGAGCGAGAGAAGCATTTCTTAATCATGATTTGATAATGACAAATCTATCTAAGTGTGGACTGAATAGTAAAATAGTGAGAGCACTTTGTATACACAAAAATATCACACATCCGATGATTATACATTTTGATGAAGGATCTCCGAATATAATTGACTCATGGTTTTATTATGCAGGATGCATGTTATCATGTGCTCACTAGATAGTGACAACATTCCTCAGATCCGAATATCACAACAATTATGTTGAATGCTTTATAGTCCTGTTTCTTCATCAGAAAATGAAAAGCTATGTATTAAGAGGAAAATGAAAAGCGATCATAGCTTTTTAGATGCAACTATTCTTTTGTGTCTAGTTGCTTCTGAACAAGTCGTTTTGTTTTATGTGTTCGTTCGTTTTTCATATTTTGACTCTTTTTTGTGCCGAAATGTGTTGATCGTTATAGTAGTGTTACTCTCTCAACATGTATAGTTAAGACTCTGTTGTGAAGAACTATATTTCGTTTGCATTTTCTTTTTCATTTGTTTTGTTTTGCCCATGTTTTATTTGTGTATAAAAAGATTGAATAAATGCTGTAGATTTTTCATATATGATCCTCCTAGATAGTTTCTTCTTTAGAAATACTTCTGATAATGTAATGTTCCATACTCATAGAATGATTGAATCTTAGTCTTGAGCAAAAAACAAAACTAGAACAAATTCTTATTCAAGTAGTGGATGAACGTACAGATCTTGCTCGTAATCAATACCAATCGAAACAAAAAGAGGTAAACGAAGTAAACAACACATTTCTGACATTCTCTTCGACATATTGATTTATGAGTTGTCATTGATATTGTTTTCTCTCGGAATGTTCAATCTGTCTTTTCATTAGATTTTTTTAATGTTTCAACCAACTATGATCACTCAATCTTACTGATGAGCTCACTACTTGCTTATGTCATATTATAGAATATTTTTGAATCTGCGTTGTATGTGTTTCTGTAATCGGTCACAGCTTCATTCTACTTACTTTGATATGTTGTGATAAAACAAGAGTTGCTCTATGGTCGTAGATCGTCGATTTACAGTTGTATAGCAGGTGAGTGATCAATCAATTCATCTTCGTCCTTATTCGCATCTTGTTATTCGATATTTTCATTTGTCCATCACAACTAGTACTGAAATAATTTCTTTAATACTGAAAGCTATCCAAATATATAGATCTTTTTCATCAGTATTTCATTTATATTCGTTCTATGGATTAGAATTTTACCAGATATTGCTTTGATATTATTAATTAACATATAAGATTTAGTTGTTTTTTTGGGACCACTTCATTTCTCAGTTGAATCAAATTGATTTCCAACAAGTTTCGCTACCTAATCAACCAAAATATGCACAGTGATGAACATGAAAACTCAGATGATCAATCGTTCGATGAATTCATTATAGAAAACCTCTGTCGTGGCATTTTTCAAATTGTTTCATCAAATCACAAACTAGAATCGCTGACGAATATCATAATCTAATATCTGTCAGAGAAAAATCAGTTCTCTTTCGATGATTCAATTGATTATGGTAGAAAATCATTTCGTAAAGATGATTGCTTAGTCATTTTTCAACATCATTCTCAAACTTAGTCAATTTGACGACGATTTTTCACAAGGATTAATATCAATTTTTAAATCATTATTTGTAAAAAAAAAAGTGAGAATTTTTCAGCAATATTCAGCTTATTGCTTGATTTCCAAGTTTCATTCAATCACAATTTTCTT